GCCTTTAATCCCAGCACTCGGGAGGCAGAGGCAGGCGGATCTCTGTGAGTTCGAGGCCAGCCTGGACTACCAAGTGAGTTCCAGGAAAGGCACAAATCTACACAGAGAAACCCTGTCTCGAAAAACAAATAAATAAATAAATAATAAATATCTCCTAGTCTTCATAGATATATTCCCATGTTTGGATGAGGCATTTCCCATTAAGAAAGAAACAACTAACATACAGGTCAAGAAGATGCTAGAAGAGATTGTTCCCAGGTATGGACTGCCTACACTACTAGGATCCTATAATGCACCTGCATTCATCTCTCAGGTAACACCACAGTCACTTTTTAAGATTATGGGGACATATAAATCCAGTTACTCTAAAGCTGATAGAAGAGAAAGTAGGAAGTAGTCTTGGACGGATTGGCACCAGAGATCACTTCCTAAATATAACACCAGTAGCACAGACACTGAGAGAAACAATTAATAAATGGGACCTATTGAAATTGAGAAATTTTGGTAGGGCAAAGAACACAGTAAATAAGACAAAACGACAGCCTACAGAATGGGAAAAGATCTTCACCAACCCCACATCTGACAGAAGGCTGATCTCCAGAATATATAAAGAACTCAAGAAACTAGACATCAAATACCCAACAGTCCAATTAAAAAAATGGGCTATAGAATTCTCAACAAAGAAGCTCAAATGGCTGAAAGACATTTAAGGAATTGCTCAACATCCTTAATCATCAGAGAAATGCAAATCAAAATGACTCTGAGATACCACCTTACACCTGTCAGAATGGCTAAGATCAAAAACACTGAAGACAGCTTATATTGGAGAGGATGTAGAGCAAGAACACTCCTACACTGTTGGTGGGAATGCAAACTTGTACAGCCACTTTGGAAATCAATATGGCGCTTTTTTTAGAAAATTGGGAATCAACCTCCCTCAAGACCCAGCTATACCACTCTTGGGCATATACCCAAGGAATGCTCAATCATACCACAAGGACACATGCTCAACTATGTTCATAGCAGCATTATTTGTAATAGCCAGAACCTGGAAACAACCTAGATGCCCTTCAACTGAAGAGTGAACAAATAAAATGTGGTACATATACACAATGGAGTACTACTCAGCAGAGAAAAACAATGACATCATGAGTTTTGCAGGCAAATGGATGGAACTAGAAAATATCATCCTGAGTGAGGTAACTCAGACTCAGAAAGACAAACATGGTCTGTACTCACTCACAAGTGGATACTAGATGTAAAGCAAAGGATAACCAGACTGCAACTCACAACTCCAGGGAGGCTACCTATTAAAGAGGACCCTAAGAAAGACACAGGGATCACCCAGCGACAGAGAAATGAATGAGATCTACATGAGCAAACTGGGGGTGAGGGGGGTAATGGAGGGCAAGAGTTGGGGGAAAGCAAGCTTAGGAGAGCGGGAGGTCCCAGCTAGATCAGGATCCGAGTGGGAGAACAAGGAAAGAGATACCATGATAAATGAAGACCCCATGAAGCAGAGTGCTAGAGAGGTCCCCAGAAATCCACAAAGATACTTCCAATATAGACTACTGGCAGTGGTCAAGAGAGTGCCTGAACTGACCTACTCTGGTGATCAGATGGCCAAGCATCCTAAATTTCATGATAGAACTCTCATCCAATGACTGATGGAAGCAGATGCAGAGATCCATGGCCAAACCCCAGGTGGAGCTCCAGGAGTCCAACCAGTGAGAGAGAGGAGGGATTATATCAGCAAGAGATATTGAGACCATGATTGGAAAAAGCACAGGGACAAATATCCAAAGCAGCAGAAACACATGAACTGTGAACCAATAGCTGAGGACCCCTCATGGAACTGAACCAGGCCCTCTGGAAAAGTGAGACAGTTGATGAGCTTGAACTGTTTGGGAGGCCCCCAGGCAGTGGGACTGGGACCTGTCTTTGGTGCATGAGCTGGCTTTTTGAAACCTAAGGCCTATGCTGAGACACTTTGCTCAGCCTTGGTGCAGGGAGAAGGGGACTTTATCTGCCTCAACTGAATGTACCAGGCTGGGCTGACTCCCCAGG